AAGGTCAACCGAAAACATTGCTGCTGTTGCTCAGAGTGTGCTTGAACAACCATCAACATCAATTCGCCATCGTTCTCAAAACTTGAACTTTTCACACACTTCTTTGAGAAGAATTTTGAATAAAGACCTCGATATGAAGCTACAAAGTTCAATTAGTGCAAGAATTGAAGCCGCATGACCATCCGATGCGTTTTCGGTTCGCCCAATGGACTGAACAACGCTTGGATAAAGATGAGCATTTTTACCGAAAAATCATCTTTTCTGACAAAGCTCATTTTCACTTCAGTGGCTATGTGAACAAGCAGAATTGTCGTATTTGAGGATCAGAGAATCCGCACATCGTCATGGAGAAGTCAATGCATCCACAACGAATGACTGTTTGGTGTGGTTTTTGGTCCGGCGGCATCATTGGGTCATTTTTCTTCGAAAATGAGCAAGGAACTGCTATCACTGTCAAGTCACTGGCGAGCGCTACCGCGCCATGCTAAACGAATTCTTGCTTCCCAAATTTGAAGAGGAGGACACAGACAACATTTGATTTCAAATAGGACGACGCACCTTGCCACACAGCCAACGCTACAATCGATCTTTTGCGCACTGTCTTCGAAAATCGCATAATCAGCCGAAATGCTGATATTAATTAGCCGCCTCGCAGCTGCGATTTCTCTCCGCTGGACTATTTTTTATGGAGAACCGTCAAGAATGAATGTTACGCTAACCAGCCAGAAACGATTCAAGAATTAAAACATGAAATCAAAGTTGCTATCGATGAAATACGCGCTCATACAGTGGAAAATGTACTGAAAAATTGGGTTGATAGAATGGGATATTGTGCAGCTAGCCGTGGAAGTCATTTGAATGAAATTGTATTTCATGTTTAATGGCAATGTACTACCTTTCCAATAAAGTCATAAACTTTGAAAAATATTCATGCGTTTTTTTTTTAGAGCCAAATTAAATTCCAAATTTTAAATGGCTCATCCTGTATTTATATATCATTATAACTATTCATTTGGGGACCAAAAAATATTTTAATTGTCTTCATCAAGATTGAACATTTCAGTAAATGAGAATGGATTGAAATGGATTAAAATTCAGATTTTCAAAAATATGGATTCATGAATATTAAAATAAATCCTTTTCAATCCTGAATGCATTTTTATTCATTTATAGGAATTGCATAGAGCATATCTCTATGCCTTTCACTTTAAAAATATTAGCATTTTCTGTGCACATCGTGAATACTATTCAATTCAGAATTGTGAATAGGAAGTTTTTTTAAATTCAAAAATAACATCAGCAATTTCTGCAATGTGAATACTGCTCAATTCAATATTCTGAATATGAAATGCAGTTTTTTAATCTAATTGAATAAAAAAAGTTTTTATTTCAAAATGGACCATAAATGCTACTTAAATTATTCAAAATTATAAGTAAGTAATTTTTCATTTTAATCCAACTAAGTTCAAAAAAGTTGTAACATAAAAATAATTTTTGTTTCTCTTTGATTAGAAGTAAAATGAATGATCAATGTGAACACTCGCAAACCAAGTCGAACATAGAACTAATATTCAGCACACGACATCGGCCAACCGAGATTAGATTATCCATCACTTACCCACTGTTGTCTCATAATAATGTAAATTGTTTATATTTTATTATATCTATTAAATGATGATATTTTTATCTATAATTTATATCTATAATTTCGTTACTAGTTTAGCTGGTTGTAATAAAAATAGAGAATGAATAACACATTTATCAATTAAAGAAGTAGTATAGCGGATAATGTAGAAGATTCATAATTCAGAGGTCCCAGATACGAATCCCATTAAGGATTCGTTTTTTAATACCAATTTGATACTTTGATTCTTTGATGAAGTAATTAATTTTAGGTATAATTATTATAAATGTCTTAGGAATAAAATTTGTAATCCTTAAATATGAATATTTTTTTTTTCGAATATTAAACTAGTGTCATCTTGGATCCACTCCATTTCAATCCATTCAATTCATTTTCATGGATTTAAAGTACACATTAAAAATATTTTAATCCATTTTAATCCATTCTCATTTGCTGGGATATTTCAGATACTGAATAATTCAAGGAATCGAATAAAAGTCAGTCCTATATAATACATGGTCATAATAGCGAACTTTGAACAGCTGTAGCACTCAAGAGATTCTATTTTACAAAGTTGTGCATATGGAACTTTTTAATGCTTTTTTTATGTTCTACAATCCTAGCTAGGTCTCAATGCTGTTCAGCCGGAGCGCAAACTGGGCATAGTCTTTTTATCTCTGATACATTCTAAAAAGTGTTCTTCTCTTTTCTTTTTAATATTCATTTGAGTTTAATTATAATATGATGACAGATTTTGTGTAATGGAGAAAGCTCATAGTAGACTAGGTAGTTATTACGTATACATTACTATATATTGTATTAATAAGAGTGATTTATGTCTCTGAAGAGGGGCTCAAAAATGAGTCGAAACATGTAAGTGCGTTGTAATAAAGAATTTTTTGTATTACATCTATTATTCGCGTAATAATTACTGCGTCCGACTCCTATTGCGCCGTTATCTCCGAATTTCTTTTTAATAATAAGTTCTTGAAGATTACATTATGTTTTATAGAATATTAACAAATGTATGAGGTTGTCAACGACTTGAGAGGTCGAATTATACATATACATTTACGTATACATTTGGTAACATTGCACTGTGTTGCACTTTGCGATGCGATGGGTAATGATGACGGTTATAACGAATGATAAGAGAGAAATTCAGAATCAATATAAATTTTGTATTATTTTCATCTGTTTCTTTACGCCGAGATAAATTCTAGATTATATTATTATGAAATTGGCTTCGTATCAGCTGTGCAAAGTCTGTTATTACTAATGCGATCCGAAGTAAAAGTAAACTTTGTGACAATAAAGTTTTAAATCCATACGGTAAAATCCGATTTTTCTTTTGTGTACGCAATAGCACAAAAATTACAGCAACAATGCTGCAACATTGCAACAATATTGAGTATTATTGCAGCGATATTACTGCAAATTCTGTGCTGTATGTGAGAATGGTTGATATTTCATCTATCAAATGCTAGTTTTTCAAAGTTCTGGATTGGCTGAGTATATATTAAATCAGTAATTATCTACTTCGAAACGACTGTCTTCCATAAGGCGATATGCCTAAAATTGTTAATTGTTAATTTCAGAATAATATTATTAAGAAAACTATAGGGTCAATATTGTTCAAATTGTGAGATTATTTGTATACAGTTATCTACACATACAAAAAAATGAAGACTAAATTGATTTTCAACTAATAGACAAACCTCCTTAAATTATATCATTTTAAGTATCGCAGAAAAAATGCTGATTGGTTAATATGGTCAGTCACTTATTCCACCTCCTCATTGATTAATTATCTTCTTGCGCAATAGCACACCTTTTTTATTTATTACACCTTGTAACTATTATACAACATATTTGTAAATATGTTGATTTTATATCGCATCTATGTTATATCGCAGTTATATTTAATAATGTTTGTTAGGATATAGCAAACATTATTGAATATAACTGCGATATAACATAGATTATAAACTATATTGTAGCACCGATTATTGCGGAAAGTTTTCAGAAATGTTTCAATCTTTCACATCTCATATGCAACAATTCTAAAACGATTCTGCAATATGTTATACGAAATGTTTTCAGAAATGTTTCTAAAATCTATCATATGCAATAAATTGAAAAATATATTTATACAGAAGAAAAAATCATCATATTAAAATGGTCCCAAAATGTTTACCAAAAGTCATTTTTTGATCAATCGCGATTCAGTTTATTTTGATGTTATTATGACTTATTCTATTTTAAGTGCAAAAAACTTTTGTATACGAATAACTTATTCTATTTTAATTGCGAAAATTTTTGTATATGAATAATGATATTGTGTGAAAACTGTAGGTATGATTTTTTAGTAATGATTATGTATAAGTACTTTTATGCAGATAATACGTAATATTAATAAATCAAAATAGTTGGCGATATAATTACTATTTTTGAGAAATACTTTAAGTTTATTTCATTAAATTTTGTAATCTGCAAACAAATCACAACAAAAACTTTCAACAAATTTTAAGTTCAGAAACGATATTTAAATATATATTTAATTGATATTTAAACAATATTCAAATTTATTATGTCGACATAATAAATTAAAATATTATTTAAGTATTAATCAAATATATATCTAAATATCATTTTTATAATACCAAAAATGGCTGAAATTTTGATAATATTTCAAAAAGAAATTTGCAAATTTTTTCTATGATATTTTATCAACTTTTCAATAAGATTTCATATATAAAAATAGCGGACACTTTGTTATTTCAGAGCTGTCTCAGAAATGTTGCAGACGTATTTCGCAATTTTTATAAAATGTTTCACTTTTCAGTTGAAATACGTATTTCTGAGACGTTTCTGAAAACTTTCGGTGCTGTATAGAAATTTTAATTATTAGGTATATATAGAGAGTCCCAAAATTTTTTGCCAAGCGCTCTTGTCTAAATAGAGCGGACTAAATTAAGTCAAAAAGTTCTGTACCATTTTATAATTGTTGCAATAGTTAACAAGATATTAATTACTAAAAATTGCTGATTTGGTTTTCAATAATTTTTTACTTAAATACTATCAACTTTACAGAAAAACAGTGAGAGACAAAAATTGTTTATTTTTTTCTTATAAAGTTCTGAGAACATTTTCAAAATTTTTTCAGTATTTTCTTATGCTAATAAAAATAGTTGTCAATAAGAAAATGCAGTAAAGTTAATAAAAAATTCTGAAAACAATTCTTAAAGTTCTACAGTTTTTCTGTAAAATTGAGTACATATTTCTATTTACACAAGAGCGCTTGGCAAAAATTTTGGGACACCCTGTATATTCCAATTTTCCCAACAATTATTGATGACAAAATATAGCATATTACCTTTTCTAAATGGCTTACACGATATTTCAATTCCTTTATTTCAATATCATCATAAGTTTGGCCACGATACCATTTTAAAGAATCCTTCGCTTTTATTTCGTTATTCTTCGTGAGATGATAAAAAGGACTTTCGGGCAATAGATTTACCAAAGTAATCACAAAGCAGGTCATGGCACAAATAAAACTGTACCTAATAACTTTGTATGTTATTATTATTAATTATGTTAACTATTCTATTTTATGATTTATGGTAGCTCCGACTCGATTAAATTTTACATTTGGTATATAATGTATTTTGATTAACGTAGAATATACAAAAAATAGAGTGATTGATAAATCTTTAATTAACATAAAGATTTATCAATCACTCTATTATTATTAGTCAGAGAAAAGATATTCATATTTTAAAAAATTTAATGTTACGTATAACAATTGGCATATTATAGTACATTTAACGTTAACGCTATTTTTACTTAGACAAAGTTTATCACTGATACTTTTGAGGCTCTCATAAGTATTATCTTAACAAAACAGTTACGCAATTTGAGAGTTCTCTGTGTCTTAATACATCATCATAAATACTAATGTTTCAGTTTACTTCATGAGACTCAGTTGCTTCTCGCCAAAATCAAATCTCGCCAAAAAACTACAATGTTTACAAAACATTGGCATTTAACAACATATATCAAGACAAGAAGATAAGCACGTAGCTTATTTAAAAATTTATTAATGAACAAAAATATTTAAACAATTCAAATCATAGCATTAATATACCCCATTAATAGAAAGAAAGTGATATTATGATCAGAATAATGATCTTTCTTAATATCTCCGATATGAAAGGGCGAATTGTAATGATTATCTATGGAATTTTTTATTCAATAACTTGATGTTACATTATGATACTAATATGCCAATACGCAATTCGCATTTATTATAACGTGTATTTACTTTCAAATATTTTAAAATGTTTTTAAGGTATATAACTTGAGTTATTATCATATGAATATATTATATAGGATAGAATTGGATATTGTGAGTACTGCAGATAATATGAGCACTTTTTATATTTTTATAACGGTTAATACCAGTAGTGCCAACTATTGTAGAAAGATGTATCTGTCTTCGCGATATTCCAATATGCTACAAAGATCTAAATTTAATCTAAAAAAATTTAAGTACTTCGGATATTTATCATATTAAATAAAGGTAGATACGGTAAAAATTAAAGCAAGTACGTTATTTTTTTACCTTTTACGTTTTTTCCTCTAATTTTGTAAGGTCTCCAATCTACATTGAAATAAGATATTTTGTTCTGCAATATATTAACAATACTTAACAATATTGCGCGCAGTAAGTGGCAATACATGGGATAACAATATTAACAATAGTAATTCTAAAATGTGTTGTAATAAAGTGTGTTGTCATAATTAACAATCAGTGTAAATTTTTTTTAGCTATAGTTAATCCCCTTAGAGTTTGACAATAATTATAATGAAACAATGCCAATTAAATGTTAATGTTTGATTAATATAATCAAAAATAAAGGTGACTTTTATAAATATTTAATAAGTATTATCAAATTGTTACCAATACTTAATACTTTTTGGTAATACTTAATAAATATTTATAAATGTAACATTATTTTTTGGTTTTATTAAACAAACATTTGATTGGTATTTGTTCTAATAAAATGTTTCATATATATATATATATA